AATTGTTTCTTTTGTTTGAATTTCATTGATTTCAGCTCTGATTTTAATTATTTCCTGTCCTGTACCACTTTTGGTGTTGATTTGTTCTTTTTCTAGGGCTTTGAGATTTAATGTTAGGTCATTTATTTGTTGACTTTTACTTCTTTGAAGGAATGAACTCCATGAAATAAACTTTCCTCTTAGAACTGCCTTCATAGTGTCCCAGAGATTTTGATACATTGTATCAGAGTTCTCATTTTCCTCTAAGAAAATTTTAATCTCCTCCTTGATATCTTTTGCCACCCATTGTTCATTCACTAGCATATTATTTAGTCTCCAGGTGTTGGAGTATCTTTTATTTTTCATTTTATCATTGATTTCTAATTTCATTCCATTGTGGTCTGAAGGATGCAGGGTGGTATCCTACTTTTTTTGTGTATTTACTAATATTTGCTTTGTTGTATAATATATGGTCTATTTTAGAGAAGGATCCATGTGCTGCTGAGAAGAAATTAATGACCATACTACCAAAAGCACTATACAGATTCAATGCAATCTCAATCAAAATCCCAATGAAATTCCTCATAAAAATAGAAAAAGCAATCATGACATTCATCTGAAAAAAATAAGACACCCAGAAGAGACAAAGCAATCCTTAGCAAGAAGAGTGGCATTACTATTCCAGACTTTAAACTATACTACAGAGCAATAGTAACAAAAATAGCCTGGTATTGGTACCAAGATAGACCTGTACACCAATGGTACAGAACAGAGGACACAGAGACTAATGCACATAACTACAGTTAGTCTTATATTAGACAAAGATGCTAAAAATGTACATTGGAGAAAAGATAGCCTCTTCAACAAATGGTGCTGGGAAAACTGGAAACACACATGTAACAAAATAAAATTAAACCTCTGTCTCTCAACATACACAAAACTCAACTCAAAGTGGATCAAGGACCTAAAAATTAAGCCAGAGACCTTGTGCCTAATGGAAAAAAAGTAGACCCAAATCTTCATCATGTGGGATTAGGCCCCAACTTCCTTAATAAGACTCTTATAGTGCAACAATTAAAACCAAGAATCAATAAATGGGATGGATTTAAACTAAAAGCTTCTTCTCAGCAAAAGAAACAATCAGTAAGGTGAATAGAGAGGCTATAGAATGGGAGCAAATATTTGCCACTCCCACATCAGAGCACTAATTTCTAGTATATATAAAGAACTAAAAAACATTAACACCAAAAAAAAAAATACCAAATAACCCAATCAATAAATGGGCCAAGGAACTGAACAGACACTTCACAGAAGAAGAAATACTATTGATCAACAAATACATGAAAAAGTGTTCAACATTTCTAGCAATTAGAGAAATGCAAATTGAAACTACTCTTAAGACTTCAGCTCATTTCAATCAGAATGGGAGTTATCAAGAATAGAAAAAAAAAACTAAGTGTTGGCGAGGATGTGAGGGAAAAGGCACACTCTTACATTGCTGGTGGGACTGCAAATTGGTACAATATGGAAAGTAGTATGGAGGTTTCTTGGAAAACTTGAAATGGAACCACCATTTGACCCAGTTATCCCACTCCTCGGTCTATACCCACAGGACCTAAAAACAGCATACTATAGGGACACAGCCACAACAATGTTTATAGCAGTACAATTCACAATAGCTAAATTGTGGAACCAACTCAGATGCCTTTTGTAGATGAGTGGATAGGGAAACTTTGGTATGTATACACAATAGAACATTACTCAGTGTTAAAAGTAAATGAAATCATGGCATTTGAAGGTAAATGGGTAGAGTTGGAGAATATAATGCTAAGTGAAGTTGACCAATCCCCAAAAAACCAAATGCCAAATGTTTTCTCTGATATAAGGAAGCTGATTCATAGTGGGGTTGGGAGAGGGAGCATGAAAGTATTAGATAAAGTCTAGATAGGTTAAAGGGGTAGGAGGGGAAGAGAAGGGGTATAGGGGTAAAAAAGATGGTGGAATGAGATGGATGTCATTACCCTAAGTACATGTATGAAGATACAAATGGTGTGAATATACTTCATATACAACCAGATATATGAAAAGTTGTGCTCTATATGTGTAATATGCAATGAATTTCATTCTGCTATCATGTATAACAAATTAGAATAAATAAATAATTTAATAAAAAAAGAGAAGACTGTACATCCAGATCAAGTGGGTTTCATCTCAGGGGTGCAAAGTTGTCTCAACATATACTAATCAATAATTGTAATTCACCACATAAATAGAATTAAGGACAAGAATCACAGGATCATCTCAGTAGATGTAGAAAAGGCCTTTGACAAAATCTAGTACCCATTCATGTTAAAATTGCTTGAGAAACTAGGGATAGAAGCAACTTAAAGGTCATACATGATAAACCCAAAGGTAATATCATACTGAATAGAGAAAAACTGAAAGTATTTCTACTAAAATAAGAAACAAGACAAGGATGTGCACTCTCAACACTTATTCAATATACTTCTTTAAATCTCTAAGAGCAATCTGACAAGGGAAGGAAATTAAAGGAATACAAATAGGAAAAAGGGAATCAAAGTTTTCATTTGCTGATGACATGATCCTATAAAAGAAAAGTTACCCGCCCCCTCTCCCAATAAAACTCCACCAGAAGGCTTTCAGAGCTGAAAAAAATTTAGCAAGTAGTGCAATAAAATGTCAGCACATAAAAATTAATAACTTTCCTATATTACAATAATGAACCTGCTGAAAAAGAAATTAGGAAAACTATTTTGCTCATTATAACCTAAAACAATAACAAAAACAACTTGGGAATAAATTTAACAACAAAGGTGAAAGACCTCTACAATGAAAACTATAGAACGCTGAAGAAAGAAATTGAAGACCTTAGAAGACAGAAAGCACTTCTTTGTTTTTGGATAGACATTTAGTATTGTCAAGATGACCCTACTGTCAAAAGCATTATACAGATACAATGTAATCCTCAGCAAAATACAATAACACTTTTCACAGACCTAGAAAGAAGCAGTTCTAAATTCATTTGGAAGAAAAAAAGCATCTAGAATAGTCAAAGCAATCCTAAGCCAAAGGTCATACATGATAAACCCAAAGGTAATATCATACTGAATAGAGAAAAACTGAAAGTATTTCTACTAAAATAAGAAACAAGACAAGGATGTACACTCTCAACACTTATTCAATATACAATTACACTACAGAGCTATAGTAACAACCTTGGTAATGACATGAAAACAACATGATTACCAATGGAATAGAATAGCAGACACAGAGATAAACCCACATACATATATCCATCTAATACTTGACAAAATTGCCAAAAATATAAGTTGGAGAAAAGATGACCTTTTTAACAAATAGTGTTAGGGAAACCACATATTTGTATGTGGAAAAATGAAACTAGATTTTTTGTGTTTTAACCTGAACAAAAGTTAACTCAAAGTGAATCAAAGATGGTAGGAATTAGACTAGAGACTTTGCAACTGCTAGGAGAAAACACAATCAACAATCTAACATATGGGTGCAGGCATTGACTTCCTTAAAAAGACCCCTAAATCTCAAGAAATAAAATTATGAATCAATAAGTGGGAGAGCATCATATTAAAACACTTCTTCAGAGCAAAGGAAACAAGAGCATAAAGAATGATCTTTACAGAATGGGAGAAAATCTTCCTTTGCCAGCTACTTCTCCAATAGGGGATTAAAATTCAGAATAGATAAAAAATTCAAAAAACTCACACCAAACAAAACACAAGCAAACAAACAAAAAACCCCAAATAATCTAGTTAATTAATTGGCAAAAGAACTAAACAGATAATTCTCAAAAGAAATACAAAAGGCCAACAAATATATGAAAAATTATCTAACATTCAACGAGGAAAATGCAGATCAAACCTACACTGATCCAGGTGTGGTGGCATATGTCTGTAATCCAAGAGGCTGGGGAGGCTGAGGTAGGAGGATAGAGAGTTCAAAGCCAGCCTCAGCAAAAGCTAGGTGCTAAGCACTCAGTGAGACCCTGTCTCTAAATAAAATACAAAATATGGCTGGGGATGTGGCTCAGTAGTCCAGTGACCCTGAGTTCAATTCCTGGTACCAAAACAAGCAAATGAACAAACAAAACTACATTGAGATTTCATCTTTCTCTAGTCAGAATGGCAATTATCATGAACACAAATAATATCAAATGCTAGTGAAGATGATGTGGGGAAAAGGGTATACTTATGCGTTATTGATGGGGTTGAAAATTAGTACAACCACAGTGGAAAGTGGTATAGATATTCCTTCAAAAACTAGAAATGGAATCACCATAAGACAAAACTGTTCCACTCTGATATTTATCCAGAGTAACTAAAATCAGCATACTAAAGTGATGATACAGGCACATCAAGGTTTATAGCAGAGCAATTCACAATAGCCAGCCAGGGGTCTATCAACAGATGAATGGATAAAAGAAATGTGGTATATATACACAATGGAGTTTTATTCAGCTATAAAGAAAAAATACAATTATGGATTTTGCCAGTAAATGGATGGAACTGGTGAACATCATGCTAAGTGAAATAAGTCAGAATCAGAAAGTCAAGGGTCAAATATTTTCTTCCATATGTGGAAGCTAGAGCAAAATAAGGGAAAAAATGGGACAGAGGGACACCATGAAAATGAAAGGGAGATCAGGGGAATGGAGAAGGGATGTTGAAGGGGAGGAACAGTGGAACAAGTTTAGCCAAATTCTGTTCAGTGCCTGTGTGAATGTAAATTCCATTTTATAAAAGCAATTGGTACTTTGTAAAGTACCAATTTATAAAAGCAATAAATAGATGGAGATGGGGAGGCCACTGGAGTAGGGGAGGGGGAATGGGAATTGAGGATGCAGGAGGTACTGGGGACTGAAATGGAACAAATTATATTGCATGCATGTGTGATTATGTCAAAATGAGCCTCACTGTTATGTATAGCTATAATGCACTAATAAAAATATAAAAAAGAATAGAGGTACTTTATAAAAGATGTAATCATAACAGAAAATTCATAGTTGTGACTTACTTTACTGCCTCAACAGGAGCTATTAGAAAAATTACAATTATTTATGGTTTCTTTATCTCAGAGTATTCCGTAGACTGTCCCTCTCACTTTCAAAATTACACCCACTTTTTCTTTCCTCGTTTCTCTTATTTAAAGTTTATCTCAGCTGTGTTCTCTTTTGACTCCTTTAGATTGCCTTTGTGTGGGTATTGGATTCTCTGCTTGGCTTTGATTTCTTCCTAGTAGCCAATTTTTAGAGCAATCCTTTGGTTTCTGTACAAATGTTGGATGGTTGGCAGGTGAATATCTGTTTCTGGATCCCTGGATACATCACTCTTATTGGTGACATCTACTTTTCCAGGAGGAAGAAACTAGTATTATTAAAAATGTTCTTTCTGTCAATGAAGGTGATTTTTCAGTATTGTTTTGTCCTTAAGTGAACATAATGAAAGCTAATGGGGTATTGTTTTATTGTTAATGAAACTGTAAGCCATTAGTTGCCACAAAATGTGTTAATATCTCCATCTCATAATCAGTGGAAACATTCCAGGTTATGTCAAAGAATCAGAATCCTACTGATAGATATAATGAGGAATTTATTGTGAGAATTTGGCGTTATACATCTGTGGGAGTTGGTTTTAGTCTATATAAATCTGTTTGGTGTTTGGTGGTAGAGTCTAGAGTTGACAGAGCAGACTGTCAGAAAGGGAAGATAATTGTTAGAAAGGCAGAGGAAGGACAAGCATGAGAACAAACTAAAATCTTTATTTTTTCTTTCTCTGCCTCTGAGACTTCAGATTTGATAATGAGGGCATCATCTAGAGAAACATGTTGTCCTTCATCACAGAACAAAAGAACTACCTGCCAAATGAGATCATTGAGAGCCACAGGGAGCCACAGAAGCCATAGGAACTGGGTCTAATGATGCCCTCACAGTCCTGGTGGGTCAATGGTAAGTGACAACATGGTAAACTGAATGAGTGCCTGCTATGTTGAACTGATCTTTGAAGTGTATGAACAGAGTTGTTCTCCCACATCCACCTAACTCACTCTTGCACAAAAATAATCTCTAGTGTCTTAAATTAATTCAGAGCAATGTGGGAAGGCAATGCTGAGAAACATGGTTTTAGCTTAGCTAAGTGAACTATACACATCTACCCAACTATAAACTATAATTGCTATGTAGATTTACAAGACCGTGAACTGTGCATTTGAATTCCTTTTGTACTTCCCATTCTTACCAATATTTGGTACTGCCCAACTTTTTAATGTTTTTACTGTTCTCTTTCAGCATAAAATTATATCTCACTTTGGTTTTAACTTGCATTGCTCTGAATTCATGATGTTTTATATACATAAGCTTATTGATCATTTCTGTTTCTCTTCTGTGAAAACGCCTTAGCTTGCGCAATTTTTCTTTTGAGTGGTCAAAATTTATTAATTTGAAGAACTTCATATATTCTTCTAAATTCTTTGTTGATATATAATTTTCAAGTATTTTTCTTTGTGATTTTTCTCAACTCCTGGATTATTTAGAAATACATAACTTAATTTCTAAACACTTGTGGGTATACTAGGGTATCTTTTTGTTAATTCACAACTTACTTCCATCATCATTATTAAAATGACTCTGTATGAATTCAACCTGTTTAGATTTGTTGGGACTTGCTTTATGACTCAGACTATGATTAATTTGGGGAAAGGTTTCATGTAAGCTTAAGAATAATGTATATTCTGAAATGCTCTGTGTTGGTAATTCTCTACATATGGAATCAAATTTGTGGCCAAAACATCTGTAACAGTACTAATTAACTTTTGTCTGTACTTCTAAAAGTTGTTAAAATCTCTCGGTATATTTTTGAAGCTACTTGTTTGTCTTTTTAATCTTGCCAGTACTTGCTTTATATATTGTAAACTCTTCCATTGAGTGTACATATATTTTGCATTGATATATCTTCTGGTAGTTTACCCCATTTACCCTGTTTGATTTTACTATTTTTTTATCATATCTAATTTGGTATTAACTGCATTTAAGTTTCATTTCAATGATATTAGTTTTAATTCTAAAATTTCTAGAAAATTTTCTCCCCAAAATTCTTGTTTTATGGTATTTTTTCCTTTGTTAATATTTTTGATAATTTTTTCTAAACATTTTATCAATTTTTTTTGTTTTTATATATAATTTATATATATATTCCTATATTTGATGTTCTTGAATTTTTTAAATTACTCCTTTTAGTTTCTTTATGTTAATGTTCATTGAAACTTTATTTTCAAAGTATTGGTATTTTTTTTCACATTGCCTCCATTTTTTCATAAGCTTGAAGGATGAAAGAAAATTCTAAAATATTTCAATTGTGATTTTTTTCCCCCTGGAGAAATATGTATTTTTTTTTTAAATTCTGAAAACAGAGCCATCTATTCCTACACATTAGTCTTTTGCTTTTGTTGTTATTTCTTCTTTTTGTAAAATTTGTTTTTAAAGCAAAGCTTTATGAGCTTCAATGTACTTAAAATAATTTATGGTAAATCAGAACTTTCTATCATAGTTTGTTTGCTATACTATTAGAAGTGGTTGATTTTATTTATGAAAATTTTTCACTAAAATTTTTAAAATTCTTGTGTAACTTAATCTAGGAATATTTTTACTGAGTAGTAATTTATTTGTTTAAACATTCTTGCATATAAGTTAACATCGATATATTTGCATATGGATTTAGATACTGATTTAACTCTAGCCCTATTTATTCTATTTCTGTGATTTGGAGTAACTTATTTAATAAACCTTTGCAAGTAACTTTCTTTCTTTTTACTGTGGACAATGATTATAATTTTTCATAAAAAGGAAAAATATTATTAATATTTACATTGCTAACAAAAATAACTGATGTAGGTTATAAGGTGAAAATTTCATTTTATGCTATTCTAAATTGATAGCTAATTTCCTTGACAGAGTTTTTTCCCCCTATTGTTTAGGATGCATTTTAGACGTCAGTATGTGTTTCAGTGGAGTACCATTTGTTTCTTTGTCAAATAGCAGTTATTTCAAATGCCATTTTTAGTAAAACATTTAATACATCACAGAATGATGTTCTCAACTCTCTTGTTACTCAAATTTGTCTCCTAATTAACTGTCAAGAAGTGATTAGTATGTTCATTATTATAACTAATTTTGAATATTAACAAGTATGTATAATCTAAGAGTGGTTAATACTGCACTTATATGGTGTTCTATTTTTGTATGATATCTATACACACTATTTATAATTATAATTAAAAGCATTTTCCATATGAAGTCTTTGAAATTAAGTTTTGTCAGCCTTTTAAAGAACTGATCAATTCACTGCAAGAAATCACAATTTCTGTATACATATCAGTGTTTCATAGAACATTCCTCATTATTATTAGAGTTGTTATGATTACAGATACAGTAACCAGTATCTCTTTATTTCTCATGATAGCGATTCAAGTTGAGATCCCTATTAAAATTTATATTCAATGCTATAATTAGAAATATGAAAGAACAGATGGCATACTACTTAAAATTCTGTTTCACTAAGGAAACTACATGTTCTGAAAAACCCTAATTGCAACATTTTAGTATGTTTAGATATTAAAAATCTATTGCATTTTACAATCTTGTTAGCAGTTTCTGCCAAGAAGAATATAATTAAATGGAAAATGTATAATTTTTTTTGGATAATTTCTCTATGCTTGAGTCACCAAAATAATCTGCTAAAAAGGCAATGAGGAAATGTTAAATTTCTCAAGATAAAAATGTGAATGAAACAAGATTATTCCTTTAAAATTTAAAATAGACATCACAAAAAGAAAAAATGTCAACAGTTTATGAAAGTTACAGTATCATTGAACTTAGTTTGAATTATCATATATTCAGGTGAACTATAGATTACTTGCATTGACATTTATCTAATTACAGTAATAACCATCTCTCAAAACTAGAAACTACTGTCCTCATTTTGAGAATGTGAGGCAAAAAAGAAACACATAATGCTAAGTAGTTTTCCCAAGGGCATTTACTAGAAAGTTAAGGTAATTAAGATTATGAATGTGAAGTTAAAGTAAAGCTCTCATTTTAAGTTTACACTGTACTGAAGGTGATGAAGCTCTATTGCACGACCATGAAAATTGTACATTCTGTGGGCATAAGTTGAGCGTGTGGAATTTCAAAATTTAACAAGAAATTTTGAAAAGCTTCTATGGAAATGACAGTATCGAAAACTCAGTGGTAGACAGAATGGACAAAACAAGCCCTTATACTTAGAGATCTGGATCAATCAGTGTGAGATTTTGGTATTAAACAAGAGTTAATTTCTCATGCACATTACACGGATTTTTCAAAGGCATTTTTGCAAGGTTTTGTCATTATTTAGATAATGCTCTGTGAGTTTATTCTGATTATAAACAATACATACTTACTGAAGACATAGTTGGGAGAGAAATATGACCAATAATATTAACATTTCTAAGCTCACATTTTCACCTCCAATTAAGATAACACTGGAGTGTGATTTGCTGTCTTTTAAAAATCTGACATTACAAAGTATGAAATTACTAAGGTTTATTGTGGAAAAATCTAAAATACATATAAGCATAAAAAAGAAAAGAAGAATAAGTAGCAATGTGACCACCCTGAGTTATTTTTTCTATTAATACTTGCTTTTTTTCAGTAACATTTATATACTTATAGTATTTTAAAATTTGCAATATAAAAAGGTTCATGTCCTTATGTTTTCACTTAAGTTTACATTAAAAGCATTTGGCTATTCATTCCCACAATTGAAGGTAATAAAATTTATAAAGCTTTGAGAGTCATTTGTAGACATATCTTTGTTCATATTTCTGACTTTCTTAATGATAGATTTGTTGAACTGGAGCATGTTTAAGGTGACGAATCTGAATTTTTAATTGGTAGGGTACATACTGTCTAATGGCTCTGCAGAATATTCTTAAATTCCCCAAAATGATGTCAGAGTGATTTTCAGCCCTGTGTTCTGGCAGTATTGAGTGGTAAACCCTTCTAAAATTTCATGATATTTTAGGCAAAATGGTATCTCTTTCTTACATTGACTTTCATTTTTATATTATTTGCAGTCTGCCTAAACATTCCCCCTAATCTTATTAACCATTGTAATTTTTTCCTAGCACAATTCATTATGTGTCCTCGGCATAATCATGGCTCTGCCAGGAGGATCTTTGACAATGGAAATTTCTAGCTGGTATTAAGGTTTCAGAGGACAGGAGCAGAGGTAAGCTGAAAAGCAACCAGTGGGCTCTTATGTAGAGTCAGGTTGATGACATGGTACACCACAGACTCTGTTCATCCAAATTTTGACTTTATCTCTTACCACCAGTTGTATGACTCTGGCTGTCTGTGCATGAGTGTTCTCATAGGACATTCCAATTATTTTGCAGTCATGTACTACATAATGAGGTCTTGGACAATGAAGGATGACATATATAATGGTGGGCCCCTGAGATTATGTCACTGAGTGACATCGAAGCTATCTTAACTTGTTTAAGTACCTTCTATGATTTTTGTCCAGTAATGAAATCACTTAATGACACATTTTTTTGACTGAATTTTTCATTTTCAAATTTCTATTTGATTCCTTTTCATAATTTCCTTTTATTTCTATTATCTATCTTTTGAGATATCCCTCTCCTGATGATCTGTAGCTCTTGGTCCAGGGTGTCCTTTGGCTTTTTTGAGTGTCATTATAGGTCATCAAATGGGGGAGAGTATACAGGGGCTTGGCGGTCATGATAATGATGACAGTCTAGCAGTAATGCCTCTGCCCTCATGAACTCATCACCTCCTGAAGGTCACACTTTCCAAAACTCTTGGTTGTATTGGGGATTAAGTTTCCAACACACAACTTAGAAGATACAATAAACTATAGCATGGGGTAATTTAAAGACAGTTTTGTGGGGAAAAAATACATGTGAAGCACTAGACTAATACTTGGCCTCCCCATAATAAATCCTCAGTAAATGTTAGTTCATTGTTACATGAGATCACCTTGACCCAGCCTTGGGGTTTGGTAGTGTGAAAACTGTCACTACAACCCTGAGAAAGACTTCGTAATCACATAAAATTCCTAAGTGACAACTAGGCCATCATTATTATGAGTTTAGGTAAATCTTAATGAATATATCTGGCTTTACATATAGCCTGATATATTTACGATGATCAATAGCAAATAAAACCTGTAACAGAAATCACTGAAGTTCTTCTCAGTTTGGTGAGGTAAGACCAGGCTTTTTTGCAAGGCTATGATAAAGGAAGTTGCTTCTGATGCAAAATAAAAGATTTGGATGAATAAAAGCCCCTGAAACATTCAAAACAAAGAGTCATAACTCAATGAAGAGAACCCAAATTAAATAAATGCATTGGGATTCTTGCTTGGCACTCTTGAAAATAAGAAAACAAGAAACAAGAAAAAAATTATTTAGAACAATTTGAATTCTCACCTTATAATTATAAAGGTATTTAAATTTTATTTTTTATATGTTAAAAAATCTTTGGAAAAATAGTAAGAAAATTAAAGAAAATTAACTTCAAAAATTTTAAGGAATATTTTCTACCATTTAAATTTATAAGAAATTAAACATGTTTTAAACAGTTTGCATCTAGACACATAAAAGTTTAATTCTAAAAGGAAATTGCCACAATTATGTCATATAATGACTATAATTTTTATATGTTCAAACTTCACAAAAATAAAAAAGTAAAACAATTCCTTGTCATTAGTGAATTCCCAGAAAGAAGAAGGGGGAAGAGAAAAGAAAACTACGGAGATGAATGAGCTTCTAGGTATTGGGTTCTGCACATAAGTTAACTACTTAATTACAAAAAATAAAGAACTGCTTGAAGTGGAAATGTGTCCATTTAATTGGTAAAAACTGAAACTAAGGGATCTTCACAGTTTGGTAATAATAAAGAAGCTACTGTGGGCTGGGAATGTGGCTCAAGTGGTAATGCACTCACCTGGCATGTGCGGGGCGCTGGGTTTGATCCTCAGCACCACATAAAAATAAAATAAAGATGTTGTGTCCACCGAAAACTGAAAAATAAATATTAAAATATTCTCTCTCTTCTCTCTCTCTCTCTTAGAAAAAAAAAGCTACTATCCTTTCCTACACACAAGGGGCAAACTCAATCTTAGTAAGAATCTTATTAGAGCCAAATAAAATTATAGTCTGGTATTTTTATTTATCATGCAGTGCAAGTTTATTTTCAACCAAAATCATCAAAATCTTGTATAAATACTATAATAATGCCACTTGCAAGTTAAAAAGACAGACAAATGTAAATCAATTGTGGGATATGATTTTGATGAGTTGTTTTGCATTATTAAATTAATGGTTATGAAGATGGCAACATGAAAAGTTCTTTGATGTAATGATTATGTGGAAAAGAATATATAAAATTCACCCAATGATGCCTTCTATCTTTAACAAGAGTAGTAAGCATAAAAAAAGGGTTGGAAAATACATTATGTGCTGATTGTGCTTCTTTGTTCCTTTCCCTATTTTTCCATTTTTTTCTATTATGTACTTGTTTCTTATATATGAAACTCTGAACAACAATTTTAAAAAGAAAATGAAAGGATGGTATGAATCTGTTAGGATAAAAAATTTGTTAGTATTTATTTTCTTTCATGCCTTTCTCACCAAGACAACATGATCTCTTTTCCAACCTGAAACCTATCAACGGCCACCTGGGTTACCTTCATACTCTCTGCCAGCTGGCACAATGCAGCATAGACTCATGTTTACATGAGAGAATTGAGGGCAAGGGGTGACAGGCACTGCTTTACAGCAGACTGTGCTGCAACTCCCTGTGATTTTTAGACTGTATAAAATTTGACAATTTAGAATCCCTTGATAAAGACAGAACTTAAATGTCATTTTTTTTTGCCAACTACTGAATAAAAATGATACAATATTAATATGAGTCTCAATTTTACTGACTTTGGCTCACACCTATACTAAGTAGGAACTTGACCATTCAACTTTTAGATTTCAAATAATTCTGAAAATCTCCAGGATATTTCCCAGGGACTCATGCATGCTTCAAATGAAAGGTTCATTAAGAGATTATTAAGGACAGTAATAGATTACTTATTATTGAGTCATAATATGCTTCACTCATTCTTTCCTTTGCTAAATCAGCTAGCAAAGAAGGAAAACGTAATTAGAAATTCTGTCTACCTGTTGTCTTCCTCAATTTTTTAAATAATTTTTGAAGAAGAAATTTCAGTTGGGTATTCAAGGGTATTTTCATCTTTAGTGTTGTAATATTGCCAGTTATCACCTTTAATGGATGTTGTTCTGTAATAATAATGTATTTGTAACCAATAATAGATATTTTTCTAGAATTATGAATCACCATTGAATTATGATTGTCTAAGATTACTACACAAATGTGAAATTCGTGGTTAAAAAAGCTTGATATAAAGCCAAATGTAAAATTCATCTGTAAAAAAACATAGCTTTTAATCAAATTATTTACCAAATACATGAAAATAAGTAACAATTTAAATAAAAATTGTATTATTTTTAAAGAACAGATAAAATGCTACCTTAATATTTTTAAAACCTTGAAAGCAAATTTATAGCTTATCCACCAAGAAGTGACTACTTACATATAATTTTTAATAGTGCTCTTAGTTTTCAACCATATGAGATGACAATTTAAATAGAGATTGGAAAATTTAAATGATTGGATACATATAAACTGCAATTTTAAAGAAACTGATTTTTAAATGTCTACTCCATATATGTGATATGTCAGTGTGCACTTTTTTAGTAGTGGAAATTTCTTGTTTCTGGATAGAGGAATTCATGGACTCCATAGCAATTCTATTTTAATACAATGAATACAGTGCTTTGTATTAAATGTCTATTATTCTTTAACAAGTTATGAAAAGCTTAATTTATTGCTTAATTTAATGCTTGAAAAAACAAACATATATAGTATCACAGTTTGTGGGCTCAAGAATCTGGGCACAGGTTAGCTGGGTCCTCGGCTTCAGGTTCTCAGAGGTGCGAACAAGGAGTTGGCCAGGGCTGTGGTCTAATCTGAGGCTCAACTGGAGAAGGATCTGCTTCCACACTCACTTGGTTGTTGAAAACATTTAGGTCCTTCGAAACTATTGAATGGCAGGCCTCTGTGGCCATAAGCCACAGGCAGCAGTTTGTCCCTGCCATCACATGAAACTCTCCACGTTCCATTTTTTTTTTCATCAAAACCAGTGAGGCAGTGACATAACAGAACCTGCAGACCACACAGACATTACGAGCCTGTAACATTACCATCCCATAATGTTTTCCTTGTTCTAATAGTTTTAAGAAGGTCATACGTCCTGCCATTCTCCAGGGAATGAAATTACAGGAGATATATATAGCAGGAGGTGGAAAAATTGGGAATCACTGTAGAGTTTGTCTGCCTTGTTTTTTAATACAGAGAAATAGCCAGAGGTAATTAAGCAATGTGCGTGTGTGTGTGTGTGTGTGTGTGTGTGTGTGTGTGTATTATGAAATATATATCATTGTGTGAATGAAAAGACACAAATAGTATATTTTTGTTGTTTTATGATATCAGGTATTTTTTTTAAGTTCCAAAGGTGGCACTTTCTTTTTCTGTAAATCCTGAAGATATTTTTGGTTTTAGTGCATTATAGTTACATACAATTGTGTTGTTCATTTTTTGGGGTGGGGGTGGTACCAGGGATTGAACTCAAGGGCACTCTATCCCTGAGTCATATCCCCAGCTTATTTTGTTTTTTATTTAGTGACAAGGTCTCCCTGCTTAGTGCCTCACAGTTGCTGAGGGTGGCTTTGAACTTGTAATGCTCCTACCTCAGCCTCCCCAGTTTACTGGGATTACAGGCATGTGCCATCATACCCGGCTTAATAGTGGTGTTCATTCTGACATAATCATGCATGCATGGAATATAATTTGCTGTATTTCAGGCTCCAGTACTTCCTCTTTTACTCCCCCTGGTTCCCTTACTTTATTCTACTGTGTTTTTTCTTCTGTTTATTCATTATTTTAAAATAATTGCTTTATAGGTATATGTAAAAGCAGAACTCACTGTGCTATATTCATATATGTACATAGCATAATTTAGTCAACTTTATTCCACAGTTCTTTCCTTTTCCCATTCCTTGCCCCTCCATCCTCCTTCTCTACTCCATTTATTTCTCTTTATTTTCCTGGTGTTCCTCCCTATTTTTTCCCTTGTTTTGCTGTAGCTTCCACATATGAGAGAAAGCATTTACCCTTGACTTTGAGTATGGCTTATTTCACTCAGCATGATGTTCTCTGGTCCCATTCATTTGCCAGCAAATGCCATTTCATTCTTTTCTATAAAAAATATGGTACACTTACTAAATTTGCGTGTCCTCTTTTAATGCAGGAAACATGCTAAACTTCTCCACATGGTTCCAGTTCTAGTATGTATGCAGCTGAAGTGAGTAAGGAAATGTGGCTTTTTAATAAATGATAGCAATAAAGATACATCAAAGCACCAAAGGTATAGTACAGGACAGATCTTTTCTTTTTTTCTTTTTCAGATACAGGGTTGGTAATTTTCACATAAATACTATGAAAAGAATGCTGAAGATTATACAGGATGAAGAAAAGGTGTGACCAAGGTTACAAAGAAAATACTGTCTTTCATCCAATCTAAGAGACACTAATTGTAAATGTACCATTATCTTAAGTACCACTGAAAATCAATGAGAATCATTCCACAGTGACGTGGTACTTTCTTCTATCTTGGAACTGTGTACTTCTGGAATGATCTCTTTTTGTCTTAATTTGTTATATAAGTGTTCATATATTTATGTTTTACATATGTTGAAAGAAAACACAAGTGAAAAAAATTCGATAATGTAATCCTAAAACCTCTTTCTATTCAATCTAATTCTTCTGGATAAACTTTTTGATGTTTCACACATGTGTTTCTTTCCTAGCTCTATAACACTCTAATATCAGATAGTTAGTGGAAACATTTATTAAGGAATCCATAAAAGAATTTGAAGCTTGTATGTTAGATTAAAATTGGCTTTTAGTATGAAGAACTGGATTTTTCCTTCTTCCTTAGGACTGTTGGTGAACTAACCAAGATAGCACCAATCCCACCTCTTCCTTACAACCACTTGTTTCTAGGGATAAAATGTATTCAACTATCATATTCAAGTTTTGGTCCAAGCCATTATCACCTATCCTACCAGTTTTGACTCTGAAACTTCCATTGCTTGCTTATGTATAGGCAATGACCACTCCATCCTGACTGGCCAACAGCACTTGTTGCTATTACTTAGGTTCAGAGATGGTAAATTGTGAAAAAAAATCTGCCTGAAATACAGTGAGACCTGTAATTTAAACTCAGATCCATATAATGCCAAAGTCTATTATCTTTTTTTTCTCTATCCTATAACTCTTTAAGAAATAGCAGTCTGTGTAATTAAAAGCTGATAGATTTTAGTGTGAGGTCCTTGCAGGTATGTTCAGCTAGTACTTCCTTTACAATAGTAAAAGGAATAATAACCTGGATGTTTCTCACATCTTGCAGACAATCAAAGGAAAATGTTCTTTCTCAAGAAAAGTTTTAAGTACATTTTGGAGCTATAAAATTGTTCTGAACTCAGTGTTCAGAACTAAAGAGTTCTTCAAAAGTGGTTTTGATTGCAGCTTCCTGTCAAGGTACAGGTAATAACAAACAAATATATATATATACATATATATATATATATTTGCCTTGTAAAAAAATTAGTTCAGAGTATTAAATCTGTTTTTAGATTATTTTCTAAAATTTACTTTCAAAATTTAAAAGCACTATTGTTACTTTGTACTTTATTCATAAATTATAAGTAATAAATTTGCCATTTTAAGAGTTCTAGACTTAATATAACTAATATATGGAATTATTAACTCTTAATTTAATATTTATATGACATTTACTAAAAAAATCAAATTCTTTGTGTAAACTTAAGGTTTAGATAATGCAAAAAAGTGAAATTTTAAAAACAAAATATTTAACCAGGCAAAAATATGAATTACTGAAACATTTGCAGAAAAATCATGAAGGGAGATATATCAATATAACTATGCCAAAAGTCAAGTCTCAAAGGATTTTTGATGCAATAAATGGATATAAACACAAATTATTTTTAATGAATATTCTAGAGTGAAATTAGGAACATTTTTTAAGAAAATCATATATTTCAGAGGAATGAATTTTTAAAATAATTTAAAGGGGTTCAAGTGGTTGCCACTGCTATTCAATTAGGTCTATGGCACTATTTTAAGACTATGTTTTGTCTTTCATTTGTATAAAAATATTTGCTCGGTCCCTCATTTCCATCTTCTTCTGATGCTTTTCTCCTTATGTGAAGGTATATGAGATTGAAGAAACAGCATGCATTCAACTCAGGCTTGTGTGGAATGCACAGGCTGGTTTCCCTGCATCTCCTGGATGAACTTTTGTCTTTCTGGCTGTTCCTGGTATTGATGTTGCTAACTAATGATTATGTTTTTCTTGGTCCATTACTAGTCTTTCCGTGTGGGCTTCGTAAATGGATCTCCTGCTGGTGAAGACAAGGGGGCTGTGTGTCTTCTATTCTGTGGCAGCCTAACTCCAGCGTCTGCTAGGGAAGCTCCTCACGCTGAGCCATAGGCTCAGTGGCTCTTCAGGCAGCTCCCTGACTCACAGGGCACTGAACCTACCCAGGAAAGCTAAACTCCAGTGCCTGACTCACTGCACCTGATTACATTGTGTCAGCTCTAGTGTTGGATCTAAGCATGCTTTTAAGAATTGGAACACAGTGAGTTGTATTATTTGTGCTGCCCTCAATTTGTCCCATGTCCTCCCACTATTCTGTGAGCCCAGTCTCAAAGAAAACAGGAGATATATGTGTACACAGTCTTTTGATTCTACAAATACCCTTTTCTGAAATATGTGGGCTTTCCTTACATCATATTAACATCTCCTTTTTCCTAGCTCCAATAAATATTAAAGCTTCAATGGAAAATAGAGATATTCTAATTAATTAATTTAACTAAACTATGGGAGAACCTACAGGCTGGATCCTCCAAATCCCATTATGATAGAATTTGGGATGTAGTTTTCCTATTCCTATATAATAATTTGGCTTCTAGAACTAATTAATCTTATTTTTATGAATGACTGGATGTGACTATTGCAATTTTTTAATATTAGCATAACCAAATTCTATTTTTGTGTGTTTATGGTTACCTAATATATTATAATTATGCATCTGATTACAAAAAACCTACATAACAAAAATCAAAGTTTCCTTTTGTGGAGATTTATATTCAAATACTATAATATTCATGTTACCCATTAACTCTGGAAGAGTGATTTAGAGGGGTCTGGTTCTCCTAGTGAGTGCTCTGAGCCCCTGACAGAGTTGGAAGAAGAGTAATAAAACTTTGAGTAATATCCAAAGTCTATCAGTATATCTCTCTGTCCCAATTATACAGCAGCAATCCTATTTTCCCAGTTTGTATGGGTTAATCCCTTTTCCCCACACCAAAACATCCTTTTCTATATATTTATCTGATCACATTCTCATTTTCCAATGCAGTGGAAACATTACTATGTCTCCTGGTGGAAATAATTCTATTGAGTGTCAAAATATCATAATTACATGATCCATAGTGGGAACCAGAATAAAGCATTTGCTACTGAGTCAATAACTGCTGCATCATTAATTTCTAGACCATGGGCAAAACAGCAGCACATATGGATGCTTGTGCTGATATCTTGCGAGGAAGAAGAGATCAAATGCTTTCAATTTCACTACAGCGCTTTTCTGGCGACCTGGATACCTGGGTAGAAGCAGCAAATTCAAAATGATGCAAGTTACTTTCAAAATTTGAAGAATTCACTGACTATAAGACTTTATTTTTAATAGTACCAGGAGTAGCAAGTTTTTCCTCACTCTGAAGTGAATCTCTTAACTGAAACTCAATTAATAAGGGAACTTCTATTTTTAGAGAATACATTTCTACACTTTAGCGTCATATGTTTTCCCAACATTGTTAGGATCTAAAAAGAAGGAAATAGAAACCACCCTATTAGCTTGCTGGTATTAATAGAGGATATTGACACTATCTCTTGAATGATGATGTTTTTTTAAGTCCATGAAGAGGTGGTTACATCACTGGGGATTCAGCCCTTGGAAGGGATTAATCTTATGGAGTGAGTCAGTCTTTCCAAGAGTGGGCTTTTATAAAGTGAGGTCACTCCAAGCATATTGTCCCTGTGCACAAGGCTGGTTCCCATTCTAATTCTGTACCATGTTGTGCCCTAGCCAAGGGACCCTCAGCAGAGGCTAAGCAGATGCGGATACCCTGTTTTGGACTTTCAGCCTCCAAAATCATGAATTAAATAAATAGCCTCAGGAATTTTGTTTATAAAAATAGAAATGGAACTAATGCAGATGCTAATGGTACTTGACTGTTTCTTCCAGTTAAAGAAAATTACTTCTTATGATCTATGTTTCCTGAAAAGGATGCATAAGCATGGACCAAATTAATAGCTGCATATCACTTTTAGAGAACTGTATTAGTATCTTCTAAGAAGTATACAACTTTTAGAGGAATAGTTATCATTTGTGTTACCAGATGACTCAAACAATAGGAATCCATGATAATTTCCCAAACCCATACTCCTTAGCATGGGATAAAATTTTGGGATTCAATAGAAATATAGTGGAATCATAATCTCTTAATGTACACTTATTTGTACATATTTTCTGCAGCAATGCTAAACGGTGATATTGTTTCCTATCTATATTCTTCACTAAATTATATGCTTCATGAGGTCTAGAACTAGTCTAGTTAACCATAATTATATCCTTATTGCCTGGGACTGTGCTAGGTAGCTTCTTTGATGTTCATATTTTTTTGTATTTCAGAAATCAGAGATCTGAGTTCAAAATTTAGTCAATTGCTCCCTTTGAGATGATATGATAAATCCTTGTTCAGTTGCAGATTAAACACACTCTGTAAAATGATTTCCCAAAGAGGATTATACTGACCACCAGGTCAACAAAATGCACCTCAGACTAAGTGGGCAAATAAGCTTGAAAAATGTCATGTTATACAATGTACTTCTCAACATTATAATGCTCCTCTGTAAAGACTTGCTAGATATCTTGATGGTAAACACTATTTAACCTCTTTTACATGTGGTTAAATAGTTAACATTAGAACAGGATCTGCAAAGCCACCTTTTGAATATACAGACTTAAAATTCTCTGGTGTATTATTTAGGAAAGTGATGAAAAATTAAGTCAGGATCTACTGGGACCGAGTTGAATATCACTGATCAGTTAGAAAGATCTCTGACTCCAGTCAAAAGATCTGGATTTGAATCTTGGCAGGGATATCTACTTTCCCTAAGAACTCAGACAAATTGTCATCTCACTGGAGATGACTCCCACCATTATATATGTGACTCTTGAAGATATCTTAAAATTTAGGAGCTGCATAAGTTGTTTAAAATGCCTGAAATTTTCTTTTCATCATAGAAAAAGATATTGAGCATTACTCTTCAATATAGAATTTGTTGAAAAGAGAATTGCCTTGTTGCAGATAATAGGCACAACAGCATGTGGGAATTTAAAATTTTTCCTTGGCTCAGACACAATATAAAAATTCTGTTTTGTTCTTCTATACAATTTAGTTACCGAATCAAAATCATTACTATAAGTGTCTACTGGTTAGTTCATCTTTTTCTTCAATTTATATAAATTAAGTAGTCAATAATACTTCAAAACCTTTCTAAAACAATTACTTTACCTCTCTAGATTTTCTTTTCTCTCTCTTCCTTTTACTATGCCTTTACATTTTCTTTTTTGTACTCTCTGAGGATTAATGAACTCAGGTGTACATCTTTGTAGAAATTTTTCTTGACCTTAATCATTCTTCCTATTTCTAATTTTTCTGCAGTATTTCAATAACCGATTCAAAAAATTTACATTTTGACATTTGAATATAATGAAAAGTAAAAGAGGGATGACAAATGCATTTCATATAATACTTTAAATTATTATAGAAAAATTATAGCAATTTAAACACCAGGATATTCCTGTGTCATATATATCAGGTTAAATATGATCAAAGGAGAGCACTGAAAAATAAGTTCTGCTATGTATAATGTACTGTGAGGTTGAAATTAGTGTCAGTGACTTGGGTACTAGGTTTGGGCTAAAAAATTAAAGGGTATGCTAGAAACCATTTTTATTCTTCAAAATCTTGAAGATGGAGCTAGCAATAAGGATGTGCTATGGCAAAATATGGAACCATCAATTAGAATTGTTTTGACATCATGAGATCACATTTAAGAACAACATCACAGAGGACTCGGTAGAGGTGCAGCAGCTCTAACTTTGATCTAGCAATGGATCAAATTTACTCTAATTCTCCAAACTGCAGACATTAGAGAGGGAAAGAGCTACACAAAGAACAGAAGTTGAACTCCTAATAAAATTGAGGCACAATGAGACAGATTGCTTTCTTCCCCCACATACGCAAGCAAAATATACTTAATATATTTATGCTCTAGAGGACTAGAAAGTCCTTATTAAATCAGATATCCCAAATGAAAGTCATAATTAAAATTATTTACACATTTAACTACATAAAGTGAAACATTAAGCATGACATAAGTCAACAAACACACAGAAGATAAATGAATGGCTAGTCTGCAAACATTTTCAATGTATATGAAAATATAATATCTTTCAAATGTAAATATCATTAAATATTTAAAAACTGATTGACACAAAAAATTTATGAGTCAAGGGTGTGGACAAAAAGTAGAAATGGCAAAATGAAAATGCTCAACTGTTTCCGCTATGAAGGAATTTACTAATTTCTATACTTTATGGTATATCCACACAATTGAATCCTATGATGTCACGAATACTATAAATCCTAGTGATGTTAACAAGGAAGGATTGTTAAAATGGAAATCTTAAAGCAGTCTGTTTTCTGCTTTTGGCTTTTGAGAGAGATAATATAGAAAAAAAATGAAGTTTTAGCATATTTCTTGATTAATTTAGAGAATAAAACTCCAAATAGATATTAGTTATATTTTTGAGTTCAATGATATGTGACCTGCATAACTGGTGGTATCCAGTTAATAAAGCAGGGTTTAGGGAGAAATTTACAGTTTTCAGTGAATACATGAATTTTTATTTCATTACTAAATGCCTATTAAGTCATTTTTAGATATAATTTTAACCTATGAGTTAATTAAAAGCTAAAAATTCTCACAGTAATAAAAAGAAAGCAGAATGACAAAAACTCTTACAGAAGTGATGATTTCAATCAAAATTATTACAGCTGTTTGTGGAGAAAAAAAGATCAATATGTATTTGAAGATGTATTCATTTTATTATGCAGGACTTGTACTCCTAGATGTCCACATTAGAGATCTATATGTTAAATGTATGGAACTCCAGCTGCACAGTAAGTATATGGTACTATAAAGAGATCTATATGTTAGATATATAAAAATGAATCTAATTTCTATTATGATTGTTTTCTTTAACATATGAATTTAGTACTACATAATTTAATTACAAGCCAATTGTTAAATCTTATTAATCTTTTTTTTAAACTTAGTTTCACCTTAGACACATAATATACTCTAAATGATGTTAGTCATTGAAATTTTGTCAAAACTTGCTTTATAACACAGTCTGTAATCTATATTGGTGAATGGTCAGTTTGATAAATGGTCTATCTTGGCAAATGCCATAATTTTATTCTTCCTTAAAGCTGAGTAATATCCCATTGAGTATATATACCACATTTTCTTCATCCATTCATCCATTGAGGGATACCTAGGTTGTTTCCATAGTCTAGCGATTGTGAATTGAGCTGCTATAAACATTGATGTGGCTGCCTCACTATAATACACTGATTTTAAGTCCGTTCGGTATAAACCAAGGAGTGGGATAGCTGGGTCAAATGGTGGTTCCATTCCCTATTTTCTGAGGAATCTCCATACCAATTTGCAGTCCCACCAGCAATCTATGAGTGTACCTTTTTCACCACATCCTCTCCAAACTTTATTGTTGCCTATGTTCTTGATGATTGCCATTCTGACAGGAGTGAGATGAAATCTTATAGTAGTATTGACTTGCATTTCTCTAATTGTTAGAGATATTGAACACTTTTTCATATATTTTTTGATCAGTAGTATTTCTTCTTCTGTGACGTGTCTGTTCAGTTCCTTAGTCGATTTATTGATTGGGTTATTATTTTTTTTTTGGTGTTAAGTTTTTTTGAGTTCTTTGTATATCTTAGAGATTAATGCTTTATAGGAGGTGCATGTGGTGAAGATTATCTCCCAATTTGTACATTTTATCTATGCACATGCACTTTGCTGATATTTTATTTGTTTGATTTTTTTATCAATTCCTGAGAGTGAAACACTAAAATATCCAACGATCATATGGAGCCTATCTACTGCCTCTTTCAGTTCTGTCAACTCCTGGTTTATATAATCTGAGGTTATGATCCTAGGTACATATAATGTTAGGTATTATAATGTCCTGCTGTGGCATTCAACCTTTTATTATTAAAAAAAGACTGACAATCTCCAGTGATACATGTTAAATTCTAATTCATATTACATCAAAATTTCTACACAATGTTTGTTTAGATTTTTTTGCATGATATGATCATTTTATATCTTTTTTCTTTCAACTTTTCTTGGTCATGTTTATAAAGTGTAGCTCTTGTAAGTAATATATATTTGGATTTCACTCTTTTAAAAAAACTTTAGTCTAACAATCTTTTATTCAGATAATTTATTTACATTTAATAAAATATATAGGTGTGTTTAAGCCTAAAATTAGCTATTTGTTTCCTACTTGTAACATCTATTCTTTTTTTAAATGTCTCTCTTTTTTCTTGCTTTTTGGGAATTATCAAATGTTTTATTATTCATTTTATTTTATACAGTATTTAAATTATATATATATATATATTTATATCACTTTATTGATTATCCTAAAGTTTTGGGGTTTTTTTTTTGTACAAGGGATTGAACCCAGGGATACTTAACAACTGAGCCATATTCCCAACCCTTTTTCAAAAATATATTTTGAGACGGGGTCTTACTGAGTTGCTTAGGGCCTCACTGAGTTCCTGAGGCTGGCTTCGAACTTGGGATCTTCCTGCCTCAGCCTCCAGAATCACTGGGATTACAGGTGTGTGTCATCATGCCTATTCTATCCTAAAAGTTTTAATGTGAATCCCTGTCAGTACACTTTGCTTAAACTAGTACATTTATCACTTCATAAAATATGCCACCATCTCGCACAGCTTGTCATTCTATCCCTTTTTATTCTTTGAAACATTATTCTTTGCCATTTATTTTCATCAGCAGATTGTAAAGCCCATCATAGATTATTATTGAATTTTTAATGCTGTTCATAATAATTGAAATTTTTTTCTAGTGTTCTACATTCCTTCCTAGAATACTTCTGTCTGGAATCATTTGCTTTTGATCTAACATGTTTCTTTTAGATGATGATGATGAAGAAGAAGAAGAAGAAGATGATGATGATGATGATTTGTAGTGAATCTGCAAGCAACATCAGTACAACTTTTAATATTTTTTAAAATATTTTTCTCTGGATGGATGATTCAAATGTTGAAAGGTATTTTCTTCATCACTTTAAAATATTGTTCACTTGTGTTTTTACTTTTTTTTTGCTGAAAAATCAGTGATGGTTTGATTGTTGCTTCTTTGAAGATAATATGCCAGTTTTCTCTGGCTGCCTTTAAGATTGTTTTTGTGTCTTTAATTCAGCTGATTTATGATTATGTGGGTAGGTAAAATTGTTATTTTACATTTTGTTTTTGAAAAATTTCCTTTCTAGACATGTGTTCAGCTATTAGAACCTGAAAATTGATGTATTTTTTTAATCAAATATAGAAAATTCTGAACTGTTACCTTTTAAAATATTTTTTTCCACCTCACTTATTTCTGTCCTTCTGGGATTCAGTTATACTTTTGGTAGAATTTTGCCCACATTTCATGTGTTCCTTTCATTTTGGTCTTTTGTTTCTTTGTTTTATATTTTTTCAAGTTTATGTACTTCAAATTGATTATTTCCTGCCTATCTTTCTTAGTTTACTGCTCTTATCTTTTACTGCATCCAATCTGTTTTTAATTAATCCAGTGAGTACTGTCCCAGATATTTTATTTTTTGTTTATAAAACGCCCATCTGATTCCTGTTTTATAGGAATTCTTCATCTATGTTGTATCCAGTGTATTTGGGCTGTTGTAACAAAACACTGTAGACTCTGTGGCTTATAAAGTACAGAAATCTGTTTTTCACAGTTCAAAAGACAGAGAAGCCAAAGCTCAAGACAAATTTGGTGTTGACGAGGACCTGCTTTCTGGTTTCCAGACAGTACCTTCTTCCTGTGGTCTCACAGGGTGTCAACAACTGTCTTGGCCTTTGTAATGAAGGTATTAATCCCATCTGTGAGAGCCTCATCCTCATAAACTAATCATTTCTCAGAGCCCCATCTACTAATACTTTCTCCTTGGAGGCTAGGATTTCAACATTAGAATTTTGGAGGGAAATAAACATTAAGGCAATTCATACCTTTTTTATTTCTATTGAATATACTAAAATTATTTATTTTTCCTACCAATTTATGAAAATCTACAGATTTTCAAAACTATATGTTTTTCCCCCCGTCTGGATTTTCAGTCATTTTGAATTCTAACATGCCCCATCTATTTTGATTGGATTTCATATTTTGAGAATAAGAAATTGTGAGTCTCTGTATAGCCTCCTAATGAGAATGTGAAAAAAATTGTGGCCTTCAAAGAAAGCACCAGTATATCACCTGGCCTGTGTCAAAGCTTGGTTTTAGACTTGGTTAGTGTTGTTTCATTACACTATGTCTGTAGAAGGTGACCTATTCTCCTTCTTTTCAGATCAGGTGGCTGTTATAATCAATACTAAGCTTCCCCAGTTACTATTTTTCACTGTGTTTCTTGGAATTTTACCCTGTGAGCCTGCGATTCTAAGACTTCCACTTTGTGTTTTGAGTATTTCCCTTAATCTGTAAGTTGGAAAATGTTTTCAAAGAAAAAACTGAGGTTTTCACATCTCATGCTTCCCTTTGCTCAAGATTCTACCTGGATTGGTTGCTCTTATGATTTCAATCATTTTTTTTTCAAATCACTTTCTTAGTTTTTATGCTTTATTGAGTAGGTTAATCCAATATAAGCTGCTTCCTTCTGGCTCAACTGGAAATCTCTATATTTAAATTTTTTCAATTATGCCAAAAATATTTTAAGGTTTTTTCCTGTATTAAATCCCAACCAGATTTCTGTATTGCAACTTTTTTGTTATGCATTTTAACAAAGAAGAGTTTCTATACCTCTTTTTCCCACAAAACATTGACTTTCACAGAGTTCAAGACATTTATCTTGCATAATGACTCATATTCTAGAATTGTTAGATTGCTTCCTCATGATGTCTTTTAGCATGCCATTATCCCTAATATTTCCTCTAAATTGGAAAGTTGATCTAACAGCATGGTTATATACATTTTAAATCTTTTGCTCTTGTTAAGAACAATTCATACATAACATTGTGTACTTCCTATTGTTATGTTCTACATAAAACTACTTGAATGCTTGGTTAAGGTGATAAAAAGTCAATTCTTCTTTTTTAGTTTTTATTAAGCAGAATTTGATTTTGTTATTTTGGGAGCACTAGCTTGAAATATTTTAAAATGAACACAAAATACCCCCTGAATCATATTACATGTGCATGTAAGTGATGTTAATTATTTTATGTAAACATACCTAAGCATCTCCCTTTTTTAAAATCAAGAGAGATAATTACTAGCACCCCAGAAACATTTTATCTTTCATGTTCCACAGTTTTTAATCCTAAACAGGGCCATATTCAAATTCCTATCACTATTAATTACCTATGGTTTCATTTAAACTTTTTATTTCTACCAGCAATGATACAAGTATTCCTCTTTCTGAAACTTTTTTATTCTATGTGTTTCAGTGCAATTTCATTCCTGGATTTTTTTCCCATCAAATGACAAAATAGCTAGATCCTAATCATTGTCACAACCAAGAATTGTACTGCACATTTCTGAATGTACCTAAGGGGAAAGTAGTATTTCTGCTGATAAACACTAGACTGTGCCCATATTGGAAGGCCAAATAAAGCTATGTGGGTGCCCAGGGAATTCTCCAAAGTTTATGGTAGCAGCTAGGTCTCCAAACATACGGCATCTTTTACCACTATTTTATTTTATTCATCACATCTTTTTTTGTGATCATTTGTTTAAATTTCCCTCCATATTTGATTGTTACCTTCATGAATTAGCTTCATTTATCACTATAACTGTGTATAGGAACAATCAATGAATATTTGTGGTTTGAAAGAATTTCTGATGCTTAATGTTTTAGTTTAAAAAAAGCTGGAAAGGTAGAGAAAGACATTACAGTGAGATCCTGGATGGGAAAATGAGGAGATTATAAATTTTGCTATCAGGCAGGCATACAAAGGTAAGGAAAGTGAGGCCACCCTCAGAGTTAGGGCCTGAACTAAATATCCTGGAGTAGCCAAATGTTCTTGCTTAAATGTCTTGTCTTGAATGGAAAAGTCTCTGACTTACTTTGTTTAAAACCAACCTTGTGAACCTGTTATCAAGATTAATGTGTTTTTAAAGAGTCCCTGTTGGTTTTTCCATTACCTATTTTGAACAACAAAATAAAAACAACAACAAAGCATGAAGCACTCTCACAGATTCTGATGGCTTATTATTCTTCTCAGTACACATGATAGGCCTTATGATTCCCATTTTATAGGGGAGTAAAATCACTACTTTATCGTAACTATTTTTTTATATGGGTGGCTATTTTGAAACTGTCTTCGTACTGTTTTTAAAAAGAATACCACCCACTTGGCCATATTCCACCTTTGTTGACATTATATCCCCATGAAATTTATGTTTCTTCTTTCCCCTTTTACCTGTGAATTAACCAGTCACTGAGGTTACCTGACCCAGACACAGCCCTACATCAATTTCACTAAATTATTTGGCCTTTACTCTAGTGGTGAAATGAATAGCTATATATTCACCACTGCTGCCAAAGGCATCTTAGTACATCAGGGTTTTGTGACAGCAGTTTTGGAAAACTAAAATACCAGGTCAATTGGAGATAATCATATCTTAAAATACAGCCGTCTTATCATACAGGCAGCCAATTTTTTTTTTAACTCTTATCTGTTTTGATCCACTATGCTGTACTTTCATAAATAAAGAAATCTATACTATTGATTAAGACTTAGAGCTTCTAACTTTTGTTAATTTTGATATCTGCAAATAATACTAATCTCATTTGTTATATTTAGTGGGCCTTTTACATGATTCCTACTCATAACATTTTAGTTGTGTTTCGTACCCAAATTTAGTTTTTTTAAAATTTCCTTCTCTTTTCTTCAAACTTTTCTGATATTAATAACCATATGTCTATAAAACATATATGATTTTTTGAGATATATGTCTTTTTGTTACCTTGGCAAATGAGTTGGTATATTTAGTTTTATTTTTTTTTACTGCAAGAGATTAGGTTATGATTTGAAAATTATTGTATTTGAAACACAATTATGTGATAATAAGATGTTTTACAAAGCCTTGGTCACATACCACATATTTTATAACTAAAGGAATATAATTTATTTTAGAGGATTTGCCTGAACTGGAAGAGTCAAACTTAGTATTGTATGAAGATAGGCCTCTTTGGAGGTTTATATGGACTTAGTTCATGGACTATAAATATACTTTAAAGTATGCATACATTTTAACATTCAAGAAAAAGTCAACAACTTACACTCATATGTTTTTAACTTTTCATTGCTGTGACAAAATATCTGAGAAAAATTTAAAGCAGAAAGGGTTAATTTTGTCTTACACTTTCAGAAGTTTTATTCATGATTAGCCAGCTCCACTGCTTTGGACCTAAAGTGAGTAAGAATATCATAATAGAAAGGACTGGGAGAAGAGAGCTGCTCACCTCATGGAAGCCAGGAAGCAGATAAATAAATAGAGATGGGACAAGATGTACTCTCCAAGGCCTTCCCTGAAGAACCCACACTCTGTAACTAGGTCCCATCTCTCACAGTTGCCACTGCCTCCTGATAGTCCATGTAGCTAGGAATCTATCAATGAATTAATCCACTAGATTAGAGCCCTCATGATCCAATCACTTCTCAAAAGCCCCACCTCTGAACATTGCTGTACTGGGGTGGAACCTTCAACACATGAGCCTCTGGAGGACATTCCATATGATATCATAACATAGTATAAATTTTTAAAATGCACACTCACAAGTTTCTATATGCACTATATATATTATATTATATACATATTTTATATATAATATATTATAATGTGTGTACAGTATAGATTTAATCATAGCATAAATAGAATTTGGTATGCTGGCTTTTTAAATTAATGGGTAATTAGCATCATAATACTATTTTTATTTTAAATGAAGCTTATCATGATACTGTCAGCAATTTCCTTTGTACTTTGTCTTCCAAGAAAAAAGTAAATTTCAAGTAACAAGTCTTGTGTTAATTTTCTTCTGTATTACTCAAAATTATATGCACAATTTATGTTATTCACATCAGTGCTGATGGAAAAAGAAAGACAATAGTAATAATCCAACCAAAGTTCGCTGTATTACCTCTCTGTGATACAGTGTGGTTGCTGTGGGAATATCAGAAAAGAGTTGGCCCTGACATTTTGAAATGTGTTATTTCATGGTCAGGAGAGATAGAAACTACATGATGAAGAAAGCAAAGTACTCAGCAAAAGTCATTTAAGATGATATACACATGTAGAGAATGGAGAAAAATGGAAGAAGAAATATGAATGGATGTAATCAAAGATATAGTATGTAAGCTAAGCCTTGGAAAAAATGTATTAATTAAATAAAATTTCCACCGGTAGAGAAGATGACAAGATGGGAATGAGGGAAATGTTCATTTTCATTTTTTTTTCAGATTTCATTTGTTATTATTTCTGAAACAAAATGAAAAGTATTCACTGGGAAGCTTCTGTAGTTATACAGCATTTTGTCATTGACAACTGTATCTCTAGATGGGAATAAAGTTGAATACTACAAGAAAGATAAAATCTCATGAAACCAAATTATTACTCTGTAATTAATACTATTTAATCTCATAATTTAAAATTACTGAATGAATTAGAATGCTCACAAAGTAATTAAGCATGAAAATTTGTTTTTTGTTGTCACAGTAAAAGTGAATGGAAAATTTTTCTTAATACTCTAACTGTAGTTTTATTACTTTCAAAATACATTAACTATGCATTTAATTTGCATTTTATTTTGTCCTTTAGAGAGTTTCATAAGTTTTAAGAATTTCTTCTAATATGTTTTCCATGCTTATTGTTTAG